TAGACCCAGCTGGCCTGGAACTCACTATGTAGACCAGGCTGGCCTTGACCTCACAGAAATCCACCTGCCTCTGCCTCCCATGTACTGGATCTAAAGGCGTGCGCCACCATGTCCAGCTTACTACTTTTCTTTAAGTACACTGTGCATATTTTTCTACTTGCATCTAAAGTTTTTAAAAAATACTATTTTATGTGTATGAATGTTTTGCCTACATGTATAAAAGTGCACCCATGTCTACAATGCCCATGGAGGTCAGAAGAGAGTGTCAGATTCCCCTGGAACTGAAGTTATGGACGTTTTTTAGCTGCGATGTGGGTGCTTGGAATCAAACCTGGATCTTCTGCAAGAGCAGCAAGTGCTCTTAACCTCTGAGCCATCTCTCCAGCCCTGCATCTTTTAAGAGGGTGTATGCTTTATTACTTAATTTTTTTCTGTAGTCTTATTTTTTCTCCATTGTCCATGGCGTACCCTAATGTTCTGCTTCAGATATACAGGCACAATGAATGCTAATTGAATTACTTAATTGAGATATACTGTTTTTATTTTTGCAAATAAGGCTTTTGATCTGTCTTTGGAAGAATCACTGACTTCAGAAGACAAGCTTGGCAATATCGACGAGATCCTAGAGAAGACTGAATCATGTGTCTGCAAAGAGCTAGAGATATCTTTGATTGTGTGTAATGTATTATTGTTTCCTATCAAGCAATGGCTTCATTTGCTAGCTGGATGGTATTAACCAATAGTGTAGTTTTTCTTGCTAGATAGTACTAAGACTGGCCTTCATTTGCCTCCTTTGAGGTCTATTTGAAAAACTTATACTGTCTAATCCAAAATGATACACAATCTTAATTCTTCCATAGGATAGTGTTTTCATCTGAGTAAGACATTTTACATTAAGAAATTTAATTCTGGGAGACCCTCCCTTGTACTCATAAGTGGATCAGCTTTCTGTACTTTGTGAGTTTGTCATATCTAATGAATTTAAGAAAATGCTCATTAGATCTTATGAAAAACTGAAAAAAATCTGGACAAGCTTTGGAAGTACAGATAGAAGAATTATATGAGATCCCTGTCTCTATTGTGTATGACCTGTATTTGCTGTAGCGAATTAAAAGTTAATTCCCACTCTTGGGAGGCAGAGGCAGGCAGATCTCTGTGAGATTGAGGCTAGCCTGGTTTATGTAGTGAGTTTCAGGCTAGCTGAGTCAACAGGACACCCTCTCTAAAAAAGTGTATTTTGTAATCTAAACCTTTAAGCCTCGCTCATTGGGACTCTTAATTATTCAGCCTTTTTACAAAGCTTCAGTGATAATGCTTTTCTTTCTTTTTTTGCAGTTTTATTTATAATGTATTAAATCCTGCATAATTTGTTTTTCTGTTATTAAATAGATTTGATTGGTTTTGTCAGACTTAATTTTTAGAATTGGTTGTTGAGAGATGATTTCAAAAAATAATTTATAGTGTTTCAGTTTTAAATTTGTTTAGAATATTGGCTACCCTGACATCCTTTAATATTCCATTTCAGACAGCTTCAGAAACAATATATAGTATAATAGAGATAAATTTTGCATATGAACAGCTTTGATATCAGTCTTCATCTAGAAAAAAATTTGAGAAACAATTTGAAATGGATATGGCAGTTTTTAAAAATGTCATTTTGAAATTTATCCATTGTTAGTAAAGGTTTTAACCATTTGGCTATTTATGCATTTAGGAGCAAGGTGCTGTAGACAAGGAGATCATTTTAAATACATATAGTCAAGTACTTCAGAAGATCCGTACTGAGGAAAAGTTCATTGCCACTCTGCTGTCCAAATACAACGACAGTGTTGAGGTTAGATTTTGCTTTCTCTTACTGTAAATTGATATTTTGTATTTTTTACTAGTTGAATCTTTCTCTATTTTAGCCTTCCATGTGTTAGTATTGCTATAAAAACAGTATAGCCATTGTTATCTACATGTAAATTCACTATAAAGTGTGAATGATGGTTTTTGTATATATGTTAGTGAGTCTTAAGTCTTATTTTTCTTATGTACTTAAAAACATTTTCATCATTTTCTATGTCTGCATTTTTACTCTAGGAAATTTGCTATGTCAGAAAGATATGAAATAAAACATTGCTTTTAATACTCTTAGCTTAAGAAATAGTTTACAGTATTCCTGTTTGAATGGGCACATGCATCCACACTTAAAAATGTGTACACATGCTTTTCAATGCATTGTCTTGTAAGCTATTTTTGTCATTTTTAGCATATTATGAACTTTTCCCCACATGATTAATGATTATTCTGTACTTTCCTTTTGAGTGGCAAAATTATTCTTGCATACATATATAACATTATTTAATGTTATGTTATTATATGTTGGATGTTGAGGTTACTTCTATTTTTTGCCATATAAATAATGCTGTAATTACACATAATTTTTATGTGTAATTTCTCAGATTCCTGTATTTTTTAAATTTAAAGGAATGAGTGTTAATAAAACTTGATGAACATTGTCAAACCACTTTTGAGAAAGATAATTTTAATTTATACCTTCACTATAAATTTCATTTCTTATTCATGCTGTGTGTATCACTGTATGTCTCAGTTGAAATGAAGATACTTCCTTTGGTGCTTTGAGTACTAGATTTGATACTCTTCCAAGTAGAAATGTGGATAATTAGGAAATCAGTTGGTAGCATTATCTTGTAGAAAGTTATGGGATCTTTTTACTATTTCAATCTGATTTCATGTACTTGAGAAATGATAATGGTCAGTGAGTGATTGTTCAGTGAATATTGTCTAGTATGTTTGAAAACATGGTATTTTTTCTCTCATATAGTTTAAAAATCAGATCATTGACTGTTTAAATAAGAGCCCCAGTGTGGATTACTTATTATCCATTAAGAAGACTTTGAAAGGCTTAAAAGCTCAACTGAGATGGAAATTGGTTGAGAAGAATAATTTGGAAGATGTAAGGAAACAACTGCTTCTAACTGGTCTTTTTGTACTTCATTTTGCTTTGAACACCATTTCATAAAAGTCATGCATAAGTATACTCTTTATAATAAAAACTTCACTGTGTTCATATTTTGCTTTATGTACTTTATCTTTTACCTCTGCATATTGGACTATAATAGTGTAAACATGTCCCCTGTGTCATTATATATTCTTTTTAAAAATATTTTATTTTTATTTTATGTGTATGCGTGTATTGCCTGCATGTAGGTAAGTGCACCCATATTGTGCAATGCCCGCAGAGGACAGAAGAGACTGTCAGATCCTCTGCAGCTGGAGTTACAGACAGTTAGCTGCCATGTGGGTGCAAGGATTCAAACCCGAGTCTTCTGCAAGAACAGTGTGTGTGTGTGTGTGTGTGTGTGTGTGTGTGTGTGTGTGTGTTCTTAACTGCTGAGCCATCTTTCCAGCCCTATATATTCTTTGAAAAACATTTTATTGAATTTTTTGTGTTTCATACATAAAATCATCTTTATATCCCCTTCTTATTTGGCACCCTCCCATATCACCCCCCCAAATTGGGGTTCATACATTCTATCCTTTGTATTAAGGCCTAATTATGTAAAGTTAGTGTCCCAAGATGTCCCTCAGTAAAGTTCATCCACCTGGGTTTAGTCAGCCTATCTAGAGTCTCTCCCTTCAAGATCAGCTCTTCCTCACCCAGCAGTAATCAGCTGCCAATAATTCTTTGACTAAGATTGGGGCTTGGCTGTTCATTTCCACAGTTCTGTGCTGGGTATCCATTCTCAGCACTTTCTATCTTTTTATTTTATGAGAGAGAGGGTTTTCTCATTGACCAAATAGGCTAGGCTGGCTGACCAGTGAGTCCCAGTGATCCACCTGTCTCTGCCTTCCCCAAGCTGGAATTGCAAGTATACACCACCATGCCTGTTTATGTTTTGTTTTTTAACATGGGTTCTGGGAATTGAATTTAGGTCCTTGTACTTTTATTGACTGAGCTACCATTCTATCCACAAAGGTATAATTTTGTCATAAAGTATTTTTAAGATGCAGGTCTCTTTTGTAAATGTTTACTTTATGCCTGGATATAATATTTCTTGCAAGTTTTTAAAAGTTGTTTTCGTATGATAATAGAGCTAGAGGGATTAGAATTTTCTAGTTTTGACTGACCTTTCTTAGGCTTGAAACTTTGTGAACAGGTGGTAGTCGTCTGTATTCTCTTGATAATTTTAGTAAAGAGGATACCTATATTATGTCTTCATCAAACTTGACATCTGTTCCTATTCTTAGCATTTAATTGGCAGCAGAGTGGGAGCTGTTCTAGAACTAACTGCAGTTTAAGAGTCTTCCAGTTTGGGGACTGGAGAGATGGCTTAGTGGTTAAGAGCATATACTACTATTGCAGAGGACCTGGGTTTGGTTCCCAGCACCCATATGGTAGCTAAAAATACTCTGTAACTCTATTTCCAGGGAATCTGGCTGGTATAAGTCAACAGTAAGTGTTAGAGGACCTGTCCTATGCTAGGTACTGTAGGATGCATAAAAGTGAAACAGATTATTTGCTATTAAATTACATTAGTTCTTAGAGGCAGCCTTGTTTTCAGTCTAACTTAATGAGCTTGTAAAACACTATTTCTTTCTGATAAAGTCTGATGACCATGATGGAACTGAAATTGAGAAAATAAAACAAGAAATAATCCAGTTGCGCAATAGTGTCTTTCAGGAAATTTATCATGAGAGAGAAGAATATGTAAGTATATGATTCTCTGAAGTTTTAAATGAGATTTTACTCAAGAAGTTGAGTTTAAAAATGAACTTTATATAACCATATGCTAGAAGTGTTATCTTGGCATAGTAATATTTACCTGAATTTGGAAATTAATCCCCCTCCCTCCCTCCTCCTTTTTTCCCCTTTCTTTCTCCTTTCCTTTGCCTTTTCCTTCCCCTTCCCCTTCCCCTTCCCTTTCCTTTCCTTTTCTTTCTTTGAGACAGGGTCTCCCTGTAGCCCTAGCTGGTCTAGAACTCTCTATGTAGACCAGGCTGGCCTTGATCTCACAGAGATCTGCCTGCCTGTGACTTAACCTTGCCCAACTCCCCCACCCTCAAGTGCTGGGATTAAAGCATGCATAGCATGCCTGACTGGAAGTTAGTTTCTTATATACCACTGTGGAGATTTTAGATTGTTATAAAGAAGAAAAAAATCACTTGTAATTTTTTTCAGTGGTAGCAATAGTAATCAGTTAAAAAATTGACTTCTTTTTTAGTCTTCTTTTCTGCTTGTTTTTAGAACCGAGATTATAGTACACACTTTTGCATAGTTTTTGTTGCTGTTTAACTTAAGGCATAGAGACTTCTTCCTCTTACAGATTTAGATTTACACGAGCACCCTTTCAGAATAATGTTGCAATAAAAAACAGTGGACCAGTATAATTTTCTTGAAGAGTATAAGATAAAAGTGCCTGACTTTGGGAGGAAGTTACATATTTTTTGTTTTTGTTTTTTTGAGATAAGGCTTCCATGTAGCCCCAGCTGGCGTGGAGCTCACTATGTAGACCAGGCTGGCCTTGAACTCATAGAGGTCCACCTGCCTCTGCCTCCCTAGTCCTGGCATCAAAGGTATACACACCACCACGCCTGGCAGAAGTTATGTTTTGTTTCTACTGTATTCCTAATTTCCATGGCCTTGGAAAAGTCAGCCAGTGTATTTTTTCCTTTAAAATGGAAAGAATATTGTGTTTTATGTCTGAGGTATTATGAGGAAAGAGTTAAGAAACAGTCATTTTAAAAGTAAGAATAACATGTAGATAACAAACATTTAAAGTGTTATACTTTATTTACCAAACTCATGTAATGATGTAATACTTTTGAATTTTGAATAAAATTTGGTAAGTGTTTAGAAGTCTTGTTTATTAAGCATGTTGATATATGGTTTTTCTTTGTAAAGATCCTCAGTTTTCTGATTTACTTCAAAGTGATTATGTAGACCTACATATTTTCTTTTAATTTCAAGGCTTTTAGGATGTTTCTTCCCAAGTTGGTCATTATTTTCAATTGTTTCTATGTTTTAATAATTTGAAGAATAATGACAGTTTTATTATTAAAATTGGAATATTTTCATACTTCATTTTATGTTATGCTTGATATTTCAAAGTCAGTAATTATAGATCTCATTAGATATATAAGAAGGTGGATTCTAATACATGGTATAATTGATTTATATATCGAGATACAATAAAAATACTTTTTAACTGTAGGAGAAGCTGAATAGCTTGACACAGAAATGGTTTCCTGAACTGCCTCTGCTTTATCCTGAAATAGGATTACTTAAATATATGGTAAGTTTTGTTTCCCTTTTGAATTATTGCTATGCAGAAAATGTAGAAAAGTGCTGATGTTCAGATTGTTTGTCAGAGTCAAGTTCATAGTATCCTCTCTATATAAGTGCTCCTGATAAATAGTTTAAAAGTGTTGTTAGGACCTTTCCTCATAGTACACATTTAAAGTTTTATATTAATTTGTATGTTTTTCTTTATTTTATCTTCATCTTCATTCAGGACATAGTATGGCATGTATTTTATAAATGGTTATTATTTGAAATGTTAAAACAAAATTTAGTTGCTCTTCCAAGAGTTAGTATAAAAAAATAGGATACTGCTAGCATGAAGAATTTAAACGTAATGTGTCTTCAAGTCAGACCAGGAAAAAAACTTTAAAAAAGTATTTTTAATGATTATAGTGTAGATGATTCAGACCCTGTCCCCCATCCCTGCCCCTACCCACATTATTTATTTATTTATTTATTTATTTATTTATTTATTTATTTACTTACTTATTTTTATATAAATACCTATTGAGTCTAATTTATGTTCCCCAATGCTCTTGGGCAGGGGGCTATCCCTGGAGTCTGGTCAACCTACCTGGCACCATACCAAAGAAAACTTACTCTACTTCTCCCAATAGATATCACTTGCCAGTATTTCCTCAGCTTGGGCCAGCGCTTCTTGCCCACATCCCTTACTGATGCTGGGATTTTATCTCAGGCCAGGAAAAAATTTGAGAGAAGTAGGTTAAAATAAGAGACACTGATGTGAGTTTGATTTTCTTGGCAGACAGGAAAAAAGACTCAAAAGCCAGACGATTACCACATTAAATAGAGAAAGTAGGAAGAAGGTTGGGACACTGGCTCATAGGACCTTATCTATAGCCCTTTGTTTTAGATTGCCTGGAATCTAAAACAGATGAGGGAAGGGGGGAATGGACCTAGGAGGAGTTGGGGAGAGCATGAATATGGCCAAAATAAATTGTATGAAATTCTCAAAGAACCTAATAAAAAAATACCAGTTGCTGTTCACATATTGATCTTAAGAAAATGAGGGGAGGGGCTGGAGAGATGGCTCAGATGTTAAGAGCACTTGCTAGTCTTGCTGAGGTTGGGAGTTCATCATCCATGTCAGGCAGCATACAACTGCTTTTAACTCAGAGTCCAAGGGATCTGTCCAGTGCTCTCTTCTGGCCTCTGAAGGCACCTGTACTCACCCACACACTTATAAATACTTTAATCCCAGTGCTTGAGAAGCTGAGGTGGGTTTATGTCTGTGAAATTGAGGCCAGCCTGGTCTATATATCGAGTTCCAGGCCAGCTGGGGCTACAGGGAGACTAACAAAAACCAAAATGAACATGAAAACAAAAAACCAAAATCTTAAAAAAAAATATTTTATGTGTATGAGTGTTTTGCCTGCATGTTTGTCTTTTTTTAAAATCCTTTTTGGTCTTTTTGAGACAGGCTCCCTGTATCCCCAGCTGGCCTGGAACTCACAAGTATATGCCTGCCTCTTCCTCCTGAGTGCTGGGACTAAAGGTATGCGCCACCATGCCCAGTTTGCTTGCATGTTTGTAAGTACACCACATGTAAACAAACCCATGGGGGCTAGAAGAAGGCATCAGATCTCCTCAAACTGGAATTAACTAACTGTTGTTAGCTGCCATGTGGGTGTTGGGAACTGAACTCAACTCCTCTTCAAGAGCATCCAGTACTCTTTAACCACTGAACCTTCTCTCCGGCCCACAAAACAATATCTTTCAAAAATCTTAAAAAAAAAAGAACTAGATGAAGCACAGTTCTCTGGTTTTCATGTACAATTTGTTCCCAGGCGCCCCCAGATTTGAGAATTTGAGCTTTGCAATTACTGACATAAAATGGCCAAGTATTTGAATATAGTCTATATTTATCCTCCTATATGCTTTTTAATTTTTTTTTATTTTTGAGGCTGGGCGTGGTAGCACACACCTTTAATCCCAGCACTTGGGAGGCAGAGGCAGGTGGATCTTTGTGAGTTCGAGGCCAGCCTGGTCTACCTAGTGAGTTCCAGGACAGCTGGGGCTTCAGGGAGACCCTGTCTCAAAAAGACCAAAAAAATTTTTTGAGTTAAGATATTGCTGTATAGCTCAGGCTGACCTTGAACTTGTGCTCCTCCTTTGACAGTCCACTGAGTGCTATGATTACAGACTGAGCAACTTTGTCTTGGTCTCTCTATATAGGTTATTTACTTTTTAAAATATTTTTTATTATTTTTATTTTATGTGTATGAGTGTATTGCCTGCATGTATATGAGTGCACCCGTGTCGTGCAGTGCCACGCAGGTCAGAAGAGGACTTCGGATTCCCCTGGAACTGGAGTTGGACAGTTCGTAGCCGCCATGTGGGTGCTGAGACTCGAACCCGGGTCCTCTGCAAGAGCAGTTAGTGCTCTTAACTGCTGAGCCATCTCTCCAGCCCCTCTTGCTATATACTTTAAAATCATCTCTAGAGTACTTAGAATACCTAATAAAAATGTAAATGTTATGTAAATTAATCATCATACAATAGTGTTGAGGGAATTCATACCAAAAGAATCTATGTATTTTAAATATACACACAATTTTATTTTTAGTAATTCTACTTTACAATTGGTTGGATACATGGATGAAGAATCCATAGATACAGAGGGCCAATTGTGTTTATTCATTAAGATTATTAATGGGGTGGGAGAGATGGCTCACTGGTTAAGAATACACACTGCTCTTGCAGAGGATCCAGGTTTGGTTCTCAGAGCCTACATAAGGCAGCCCACAGCCGCCTGTAATTGCATCTACATGGGTATCTGATGCCTCTGGCCTCCACTGGCACCCACACAGAGACACACAAGTACAAACACATAATTCATACAAATAAATCTTTAAAAAATTAATTATACTAGCTATTTCTGCTATTTTTGGATAGTCAACATTTAAAATTAAACTAAGTTTTATCACAGTGTAGTTTTAGCAGCAGAGTTGTAGGATTGTTTTCTAGTTCTTTTTTTTGTGTGCTGTTACTGTATTATAGTCTGTAGTCAATCTACAAAGGGTTCTGAGCATATACCTCAAAATCCTCTTAAGCATCTTAGTCATTGGAAAGCATCTCTAAACATTGCCTAGAAAATATTTAAAATTATTTAAGATTAATTTTCAAGTTCCATATAGCCTATCTCTACCTCCTGAATGCTGAGATTTAAGGTGTGTGCCATCATAACGGGTTCAAAAATTTAAAATTTTGAAGCCATTTTTACTTTTGAGTACTTTAAGCAGATGTAGATATGTCAGAATTACTTTAGTAATCATAATCTTTAGATTTCTTGTTACTATTATACAACTTTTTACTTGTCCTTATTTTAATTTTCTAGGAAATACATGAGGTTTTTCAAATAACTATTAGAGTTCCTTGGAAGCATGTCTTGTTATTTTCAGTCATTTCTACAATCTGTTCTAAAATTACAGCAGTGATTAAATGTATGGTAATTACACTGGGGATAAGAAGCATTAAAGAGCAAGAAATTAGAAAAAAATTCAAAACTCTAAACTTTTATCTTTAGTAAGGTTGATGATGTTCATTGCATTTAATAGTATGTAGCTAATTATGTTGATGATTTGAAGGTCCTAGAATTTTTTTTTTTTTTGCTGGACTAACTGTAATAAAAACTTGTGCCTAGAGCTCTGGTGGTCTTCTTACTATGAGCTTAGAACGAGATCTTCTTGATGCTGAGCCCATGAAGGAACTTAGCAGCAAGCGTCCTTTGGTATGCTCTGAAGTTAATGGGCAGCCAGTTCTTTTAAAGGTAATTTGAAGTTCTGGTAGTTATGGAAAGTTCAGAAGTATGAAGGGGAATGGTGATGTTACTTTTCAAGGAAGAAAAGAAACCGATTTTCTAAGGTGTGCAAGGTGGTTACATGACAGTTGTGTTAGAACTAATTTTGACTTTAAAATTTCTCCCATTTCCCTAAATAATACTGTGTTAATTTTCTTTTTGGGGTGAATTTATTGCGTCTTATTCAATAGCCCTTTAAAATTCTTGTTTTTCTTAGCTCTTTCTTCGAAAGCACAGCTGTGTTGCCAACACAGACTTGTTTTACTTAATTTCTTCTTGTGAGCTGGGAAACTAAGGATCATTAGAGGATCTTTAAGTTGGCCTTAGTTGCTACACATTTTAGAATACAGAGTAAGCTGCAGGTAGAATTGTTCTTTCCTTTTTAGGTTGTAGCATTTCAAGTAGATAGAAAAGGCATTTACAAAGTTAAAATTGAAAGTTAGATGTAATTTAATTCACATAAAAATAATTCACTATGTTTAAGTTGGAGTAATAGAGCTAGATTTTTAATGTTGAAATGACCAGTTCCTCCTTTTTTGGTTTTATACAGGGCTACTCTGTGGATGTTGACACAGAAGGCAGAGTAATTCAGAGAGCAGCCTCCTATCACAGAGCTTATAGAGATGCTAAGGAAGAGTCTGGGTTACTGCCGTTGATATTCCTGTTTTTGTGTAAGGTAAAGTTCTGGGTTAATTCTTGCAGAAAAGGTTTTATTTGAAATAAGTTTTGGTTCCCAGTTTTATAGCATTAATTTGTTCTTTAAAATATAAAATAATAATTGTGTTGTATAATCAATATATACTACAACTACGAAGAATGTTTAGTTTTGAGTCACATTCTCTGTTTTGCTCCTTAGTCTGATCCTGTAGCATATCTGATGGTCCCATATTATCCTAAGGCGAACCTCAGTGCAGTTCAAGCCAGTGTGCCTTTAACTTCAGAAGTAAGTAAAAACAATCTCCATGAATACATTACATGAGAAAATAACAATGTTACATGCATTACCTAGTATTTATTTGGGTCATATTACATGCTCTTTTATGCAGAATTTTGACCTGCATTGTTCTATTTCATTGTTAGGCCATCTCTATGCTGTAAGTTATTCCCTTATAATACATGAGAAAAAATGAGACTGAGAGGGACTAAATAACTTTCATAAAACCACTCAACCAGAAGTAGAGTTGGAACTTGAAATTAGGTCTTTCTGGTTTCAAAACCCAAGCTTACAACTATTAGGCTGTGCATTATGTAAATTGCCAAGGATAGTAGTTGGTATTGTAAATCTTAAGTGGATGCTTTAGTTTTTATCACTATAAATTTAGAATTAGTAATAATAAAGGAGGTCCTGATTCTACGCTACTTATTATCACTATTCTTATGTGGTAGTTAGTTATAATACAGTTTACCTTTAGAGATAAGTGTGCACAACTGCATATACCACTCATGATGGTTACCAATTACATATTAAGCATTATGTAGCCTTATATTCTTTGTCTATACTATATTCTTAGTAAAGATTAATTTGAAGAAAGGTTTACTGTGTTTGGGGACAGTCTTTTAGTAGACAAAATATTAATGTTAAAAATGAGTTGTTGGGCTGGAGAGATGGCTCAGTGGTTAAGAGCACTGGCTGCTCTTGCAGAGGACCTGGGTTCAGTTCTCAGCACCAACATGGTAGTTAACAACCATCTGTGACTCCAGTTCCAGGGCATTCAACACCTTCTTTTTACCTCCACAGGCATTGCATGATATGGGTACACTTATATACATGCAGGCAATATACTCATACACGTAAGAAATAAAAATAATATATAAAATATTAAATAAAAATGAGTTGTCTATTTTCTGACCCCTACTTGTCATATGTACTTATGTGTAGGAAGCTTTAAAAGTCATGAAAGGTGTTGCCCAAGGCCTGCATACCTTGCACAAAGCTGACATAATTCACGGATCACTTCATCAGAACAATGTATTTGCTTTAAATCGCGAACAAGGAATTGTTGGAGATTTTGATTTCACAAAATCTGAGGTAAGATATCATGGCTTTTAAAACAGGATAGAGATTCCATTTACTATTAGACAGCAGTTCAGAACTTACACACAATATGATAATTTACCATAGGGTCTTCATTTTCAGTTAAGGTGTGTCATGGAACATAAATAGTATCTGCTGTCACTTTGGTGGTACAAGCATTGTGTCTTTTTCCCATAAATACAAAAACTACCTCATGTACTCAGTGATCATCAATTTTTGTTATCAGGAAACAGTTGCTGGGAAGCATGTAAGATCCTCCTCTGCGTGTGCTTCTTTCATCCATAGTTTAAATCTATACACTTTGCTATTTTTATTAATATAGTACAGTTTTAGAAGCCTGGAAACCGTGGATGTTTTCAATTAGTTTAGGTTCAACTACAATGACTTTTAATTTAGTGCAGTAATACCTCTCAATAGATAATTTTGTGGAGATAACAAAATCCAGACAATTAAGAATGTTGTAATAATTTTTATGTATGTGGAATAGGCAGTCTTAAAATATACATGATTACAAGGGAATAATTTCCTTTTTTTGCACAGAGTCCCAGCTTGCCTGGAATTCATGTAGACCAGGCTGGCCTCAATCTCACAGAGAGCCTCCTGCCTCTGCCTCCCAAGTGCTGGAGTTAAAGGCATGTGCTACTATGCCCAGCAATTTCCTCTTTATTTTAATTGACAAAAATTTTGTATATATTTATTGTGTACAGCATGATGTTTTGAAATACATATGCAATATGAATGGCTAAGTCATCATTTCCCATTTTAAAAATAACAACTTTGTTGATATATTATTCGCAAAGCAGAAACTGTATAATTCAGTACTAGTACTAGTTTTTAGTATATTCATGAAGTGGTGCAGTAATTACCGCTATCTAATTCCAGAATATTTCTATCATTCCCCTCCAAAGAGTCACTGGATAGCAGTCACTGTTTATTTCTCCTTCTGCTCAGGCTTTGGAAACCAGTAATATACTTTGTGTTTCTGTATTTACCTGTTCTGGACATCTCATATAAATAAAATGGGGCAATAGTTGGGCTTTATTACTTAGCATAATATTTTCAAAGTTAATCCATGTTGTAGAACACACCAATATATTTATTTTTATGACCAAATGTACTTAATTATCTGATATTTTGTATATTCATTTATCAGAGGATGGACATCTGTATTTAAACTGTGTGTTTGCTTGAGACAGGGTCTTACTTTGTAGCCAATGCTGGCCTTAAACTTCCAGTGATCTTCCTGTTTTAGGACTCCTAAGTGTTCAGATTACAAGTATGTGCCCCAGTACCAGCTCTGAATTTATACTTTTTGGTTATTATAAATTATGTTGCCATGAACATTGGTGTACAAGTTCTTTGTGTAGATATTTTTGGTTTTAGGGAGTGGAATTACTAACTCATGTAGCTCTGTCACCATTTTTTAAATTTGTAAGTGCTTGATGGATCATATAACAAGTCACATAATTGATGATTCATTATTTCACACACAGGGAGGAATAATAGTTTACATTATAATTAATGTCCACATATCTCAAAACATATTATGAATAAACAAAACTAGCTTGGGAAAAGGGTCACAAAGTAGCAGAAACAGCAAGAGCAATCCTGCATCAACAAGGTGAAAGGCTAGAACTGACCTACACATGCACACTGTGGCACACATCCTCATACATGTGCACACACACACACCAAACTGGAAAAATTAAAACAAAGAGTATCATTGAGCAAAGAATCACTCATTAATTTTCAATACAAACCTACAGTCTGAGTATAATAAAAGTACAATTTATAAGAGTAGAAATTAGATAATATTTGAGAGCAGGACAATGAGATACTTCAAACAAATTTTTAAATTAATTGCAAGGATTTCATATAAACCCTTCAACTGTCTCAAATACTTAAAATAGGGGCTGGAAAGATGACCCAGTGGGTAAGAGCCCTGGCTGTTCTTGCTGAGGACCCAGGTTTGATTCCCAGCACTCGCATGGTGACTAACAGCTGTCTATAATTCCAGTTCCAGGGGATTTAAAGCCCTCTTTTGGCCTCCATGGGTATTGCAGGCATGGGTGCACTTACATACATGCAAGCAAAACACTCATATACATAAAAAATAAGGGACTGGAGAGATGGCTCAGTGGTTAAGAGTACTGACTCTTCTTGTAGAGGACATGGGTTTGCTTCCCAGCACCTACACGGTGGCTAACAACTGTCCATAACTCTAGTTCCAGAGGATCCAACACCCTTTTCTGACCTCTGGGCATTGCATGACACAAGTGCACTTACTTACATGTAGGCAGTACACTCATACACATAAAGTTAAATAATAAATAAAATATTTTAAAAAATAAATAAATTTTAAACATTTAAAATACTATTTTTTGTAGAGCCAACGAACCTCAGTGAACATGATGGTTGGTGGTTTGAGCTTGACATCACCTGAATTGAAAATGGGAAAACCACCTTCTCCAAGTTCAGACTTATATGCTTATGGCTGCCTTTTATTATGGGTATGTTATTTTTTTAAAAAGTCAATCATTTACATATATTTTAGAATAGAAAGATGATTATAGTGATTCTCCTTAACTCTTAGTCTAGATAAAATGATTATAGTGATTCTCCTTAACTCTTAGTCTAGATAAAGAGTAATGGTGTACTTTTATTTTTAGTAGAATTTGTGTGTGTGTGTGCTCACGCGCATGTACCTGTGTTCACTTGTATGTGGAGGTCAGAGGTCAATTTCTGATGTAGTTATTCAGGAATAAAATACCTGTTTTCTGATTCAGGGTCTGCCACTGGCCTGGAACTTGTCAAGTCGGCTAGGCTGGCTGACCAGTGAGCTACAGGAATCTGCCTGTCTCTACTTTCCTAGCACTGGGATTACAAGCATGTACTATCAGGTCCAGTTGTTTTTTCTTTACACAGGTTCTGGGGTTTAAACTCAGGTATGGATGCTTGGGCAGCAAGCATTTTAACAACTGAACTATCTCATACCCTGCCACAGAATTTTTAGATTTTAAAAAATAAACTTGTTGTGATTCTGCTCATTACCTACTATCTATAATTTAGATCAATGTCTGTTACAGGCATTATATTCTTAGTTCTGTTACAGTTCATATTGACAGTGAAGATGATTTTATGCTATATTTATATGGAAGAAATTAATGCATATATGGAAAATAATGCCAAATGAACCTTAGGTAAATGTTCTTGCTTTTCACGGTATACTATAATGGCTACTTCTTAACTGTTGCTTTAGGTTTTGAGTGAGTAAGGCTAGAAATTTCTAGATGGCTCAGTACTTAAGAGCAATTAGATATTAAAAGAGAAAGATAACCGTTCTAATCAATATTATACTGAAGGTTCTAGTCCATGGATGAGCAAACGTTTTCTATGAAGGGCCCGCTGGTCACATTTTTAAGCTCTGTGGCATGGCATGTTTCAAGTACTGATTTCTGCTACTGTAGCACAAAAGCAGCCATGGAGAGTTCATAAACAAATAAATGTGACCTGTTCCATTAACAGTTTTTACTGGATATTGAAATGTAAATTTTATGCAATTTTCAGGCTGTATGAAATAGTATTCCTTTGAAATTTCTGTTAAATATTTAAAAACCTGGAAACAATTCTTGCCTTGCAGCTTGTACAAAAATAAGTAGTGGCATTGATTAGTACAGAGTCAAATTTGCTAATCCTGGTCTAGCCATTATAAATGAACAAAAAGAAATAAAAGTCATTCAGATTAAAAATAAATAAAATTGTGTTTGTGTGCAGATGACATGTCTAACTAACCATGTAGGATATTTTTAGGAATATACATGAAAGCTACTAGAACTAATGTGATTTATCAAGGTAGCAGTTTTAATTTCAATGTGATTATGTATTTTTACAAAAATTCATTTTTATTTATTCTTTGGGAATTTCATGCAGTGTATTTTGATCAAATTCAGCCCCTCCCCCATTCCACCCACACCTTTCTAGCCCTCCCCTGACTTCATGTCCTCTATTTTTTTTTTAAGGCCCATCAAGTTTAATTTTTGTCCCCAAATGCTTTTGGGTGTGTCTCCATCCCCTGGAGCCTGGTCAACCTACCAGGTGATGTCACACTCTTAAAGAAAACTGATTCTCCCTGTTCCAGCATCCATCAATTACCAGTAGTTCCTTGACTATGCTTCCCCCCACCCCCCACCATGCTGGGGTTTTGACTGGCTTAAGCTTGGATAGTTCTTATGCATGTAGTCACAATTTCTGTGAGTTCATATGTGCAACAGCCCTGCTATTTTGAAAACACTGTTTCCTTATAGTTGTCCACTACTTCTCACTCTTAAAAATCTTTCTGTTCCTCTCTGGGCCTTGGGAGGAGAGAGTGGAATATAGGTGGCCCATTTAGGACTGAGAATTCTACAGTCTCTTATTCTCCATACCATGACCAGTTGTGGGTCTCTGTGTTAATCGCTATCTGCTACAAGAAGCTACTTCTCTGATGAGAGTTGAAAATTGTATTAATCTATGGGTATAAGAATAAGTCATTAGGAATCAGTTTAAACTATATCCATTTAGCAATATAAAAATAGTAGATTCTCCTTGTGGTCTGTGATTTGTTTGGCCACAGGTTCTTGGCCCCAGTTGTTAATTGAGGTATACAGGTATGAGCTCCATCTTGTGAATTGTGCCTTAAATCCAAACAGAAAGTGGTTGATTACTCCCTTAACATTTGTGTCATTATTGCCAGGCCAGTTGTTATTGTTGCTTGCAGGGATCAGAGCTAGGAAAGGTTTTCTCTTCTGGTAGCATGCATAGCACCTTCTATCACTTTGAAAGCTAACCAATAGAGATGAAGCTTTGAGGTCAGTACCAACTTGATTTCTCCTTGTTTGTTTTATGACTCACATATGTAGTATCTGAAGTAATGGAGACTTTGTGTCAAATTCTGGTGGGTATCCAAGAGTAGTGACAATAGCCAATATTGTTTAGGGTCTGTGGGACACCGTGTTAACTCCCAAAGAGAGAGTCTATTACTGGCATTGGGCTTTTTATTTTCTATCCTGTGGTGTCTGATAGGGACATTGTCCCTCCATTATAGGATAACTCCACTTAAACTCTTTCTAGATAGCATGTGTATATATTTTAAGAAGCTTCTATAGTAGTAGGTCTCCATATGACTTTTTCAAAATGCCTTTCGTGTTAGATACCCTTCCCCTTACTCCACCCTTTGCCCTTCCCTCCCATTTCCCCTTACCCCATTTAATCTTCCTATCCCATTATTCCCATCCCCCTTTATATCACTGCATTATATTGCCCCTACTGTGAAGTGCCCCTCCCCCACCCAGTGGCACCTTACTAGTTTCCTGACCTCTATGGAATTTCTAATGGAAACCCACATTCCTAAAGATTCAAAGCTAGCATCTACTTATGAGAGAAAACATGTGGTGCTTGTCTTTCTGTTTCTGGGCTACCTCAGAGTGATTGTTTCAAGTTCCATCCATTTACCTGTGAATTTCATAGTTTTGTTTTTATTAGGAGTTGATGACATTTAATGCTCTTTCCATTTTCTAGATATTGTGACTATAACAGTAGTGAATATGGATGAACAGCTCTTTAGTCAGTTATAGAGTCCTTTGGGTACATGCCCAAGAGTGGTATGTCTGGCCCATGTTGCAGATCTATTTCTAGCTTTTTGAGGAATTTCCACACTGATTTCTGTTCTTGATCCATTTGGAATTGAGTTTTGTACACAGAGAGATGGATCTAGTTTCATTCTACATTCCATTACCCAGTTTGACCAGCATTATTTGATGAAATAATCTTTTATCCAATGTGTATTTTTGACCCCTTTGTCAAAAATTAGTTAACTCTAAGGAAAGACAAGGGTCAAGTTTTGTTCTTCTGCAGGTAGAGACCAATTTTGCCAGCACCATTTATGAAAGATGCTGTCTTTCCTCTATTGTGTTCCCTTACAATGTTTTGGATTTTTTTTTTTTTTTTGGTGTCTGTTGTGATGTTTCCCCTTTTGTCTCTGATTTTGTTTATTTGGATTTGCTCTTTCTTTTGGTTAACTGGGCTAGGATTCTGTCTATCTTGTTGAACCTTTCAAAGAACTATCTCTTAGATTCATTGATTTTTTTTTGTTATTGTTTTCTTTGTTTCTCTTTCATTAATTTCTGCTCTGAGTTTGATTATTTCTTCTCATCTACTAGGTTTGGGGTTGGTTTGTTCTTGCCTTTCCAGAGTCTTGAGTTAGACCATCAAGTCATTTACATGTGCTCTTTCTGATTTTTTTAATGTAGGCACCAAGAGCTATAAACTCCCCTCTTAGGACTGCTTTTAGGGTGTCCCAGAGGTTTTGTTGTGTTGTGTTCTCATTTTCATTTTGTTCCAGGAATACTTTTATTTCTTTCTTGATTTGTTCTTTGGCCCATTCATGATTCAGGAGTGTGTTGTTTAATCTTAATGAGTTCATGTATTTACTACAGCTTCTCTTGCTATTTATTATAGGCTTTATTGCACTGTGGTCTGATAGAAGGCATAGAATTACTTCAGTTTTTTTTTTTGTATTTGTTGAGATTTGTTTTGTGCCCCAGAAATGTGGTCAATTTTAGAATAACTTGCATGAGCTGCTGAGTAGAAAGTATATTCTTTGGTGGTTGGGTAGAATATTCTGTGTATATCTATTAGGGCCATTTCATGTAGTATGTCATTTAATTCAGTTGTCTCTCTGTTTATACTTTGTCCAGTTGACCTGTCTATTGAAGACAATGGGATATTAAAGTTGCCCACTATCACTGAGTTGTTGTCAATCTCTGTTTTATAGTCCTGAATTACTGATTTTTATGAAATTGGGTACATAAATATTCATGATTGTAATATCTTCTTGGTCAATTGTTCCTTTGATTAGAATGAAGTAACCCTCCTTATCTCTTCTGATGAGTTTTTTTTTTGGTCTATTTTGTCAGATATTAAAATTGTGACACTTGCTTGCTTCTTAGGGCCATTTGCTTGGAATATTTTTTCCATCCTTTCACCCTAAGATACTATCCTTGAAGGTGAGATGAGTTTCTTGAAGACAACAAAAAGAAGGGTTTTCTTTCTTGATCAGTTGTATCTTTTTGACAGGGGAGTTGAAGCCATTGATATTTAGTGTTTTTGTTGAAAGGTGTGTATTGTATACTGTCATTTTAATTTCTTTGTGTTTGTGACCCTGTTTTATGTTTCCATTGTTATACCTTTATTTTTTTTTCTCTAGCCTCTTGGGTAACCTCATTCCTTTCTTCAGTCTTTTGTATTGCTTCAAGTGTTCTCTGTAGGGCTGGTTTGGAAGACATGAATTCTTTCAGCCTATTTGTGTCATGGAAAATTTTCTATTCTCCTTCAACCTTGATAGATAGTTTTGCTGGATAAAGTATTTGGGATTGACATCCATGGTTTTTTAGAACTGGGACTGCTTTGTTCTAGGCTCTTTTGGCTTTCATAGTTTGTATTGAAAAGTCAGCTGTAATTCTGATGGATTTTC